TATTCCAATATTTACATGACACACACTGTTGCAGTATTAAAATGTGAGCTTGCTCCTTTTACAAATCTCTTTAGCAGCAATTCTTTTCTCTCCTTTGTTCCTAATTCAACTTTTAAATGGCAGTCACAAGTTTCAATGACTTCAGCCTGTAATTGTGCATTCCCTCTGCTTCTTCTCCTCCCCCTCAATCCACCTTCTCTTTATACTGGTCTGCAATGTCACTGGCAGCCCAGAAAGCCACCGAGGTTCTGACTGCATCACAAAAAAGCATCAAAGAGAGGACCAGCAGAGCTGCCTCCAGCCCTGGGATCTCATCAAGGAAGGACGTGGAGATGCTGCATCGACCCCTGAGGAGRCCACAAAGATRCTCCAAGGGTTGGAGCCCTGGATCCAGCCTGGGAGAGCTGATTTGGCATWGTCTGGAGAAGAAAAAGCTCTGGGGWGTCCTCAGARYCCCTTYCAGTGYCTAAAGGGGCTCCAARAGASYTRGAGAGGGACTGGGGACAAGGGATGGAGGGACAGGACAAGWGGGAATGGGTACAGACTGAARGAGGGCAGGGTTARATGGGATRTTAGAAAKAAAYTYTTTTAGAAAGAAACTCTCCCCTGTGAARRTGATGAKKCCCTGGCACAGAGTGCCCAGASAGGCTGAGRATGTCTCATASCTGGAATTATCCCAGCTCAGGTTGGACAGGGCTTGGAAYAACCAGGGATTGTGGAAGGTGACCCTGCTCGTGGCAGGGGGTGGAACAAGACAAGTTGTAAAGTCCATTCCAACCCACACAATTCTGGAATTCTGTGATGATTCCATGGGGGTTCCTGTAGGAGGTGTCTAAGCCACCTCCTCACACCCAGCACTGCTCCACTCTGCTCCACACATCCTTCCACACTCCAGCTTTGCCCTGCACATCCTCTGCAATGTCACCCTGTGTAACCTTTACCCACACATTCCCTTTGTCAGTGGATGCTGCATCAATACCTCAATACCCTCCACAATTCAAACCTTCTCCTTASAGTTCAYCTSTTTTCCATAATCCTGGGAAATACARYAGAAAGTTACAAATACCATCAGAGCCATCGGTACAAGCTGCACATTTCTGGAACCAGGAGTAGCCCTGAGGCTGCAGCTTTATCTGCTAYTCCTGCCTTTCCCCATTTCCTGGCATTCCCCAAGAGTATGAGGAGAAACTGAGATATCCTGGTATTTGTATCACTCCATGAATATCCAATGTCTGAGCAGTATGAGCAGATCTAAAGTGCTCCTGTTTGGAGGGAACTGCCTCTCCCTGCTCCAAGGATTTGTTTTTCCTTTGCAAAATGCTGCCATACATTCCCTTGGCCATTGTGGTGGAGTGGAAAGCAACAATTTACCCTGAACACATGAGGCAATTAAGTCGACATATTTACAGTATAAACATGTACATGTTCACAGTTAGCATTCCACAGTATTAATTCCTAATGTTCGTGAATGCATTCAAATATCACATTGCTTGAACAACAGGCATTTTATGCTTCCTGTTAAATACAAAGAGATGCAGAGCCATAAAAAAAATAAAATGCTCAGTGTACAGACATTTGTGGCWGAGCTGGGAGAGAACTTAAATCTGATCTTTCCTCTTGGGAGTTTTAAATGTGTTACCTTCCCCATCATCAATGTCCAGCAATCAAAGTCTCATGAATATGCCAATGGAATATTTGCTGGAATACTTTAAACAGCCATTCCCCACGAGTACAGCAGGCCCATACTGAGGATCTCAGCTAGAGATAAACCCATTCTAACAGAGCYGATATTTGTTTCATGTTGACAGTCAGCAGCACCATCATCAATTTTACACCAATTTCATGGACCAGCAAAAGTAATCGCTTCTGTTCCTTGACCACAGAAGAAAAGAAGTCCCGTATTAAAATTTATCAAAGCTACCAACTGCAGACATATGGAGCCAAACATCTTAGTTCAAAGGCATTTGATAGATAATATATTATTGTAAAACAATTTATTCTCCCTCTCTRTTTCCAATTGCCACTTTATTTCCTACTATCCCTGTCCCAGCTTTTTCTTCAATCCATGTTTCACTGCCAAGTCCTGGCTCTGAAGGGCTCCCAGTGATCGGTGCAGACACATCCTTTGCCCCTGGTAATGCTCTCCTTAACACAGCTCAGACACTCAAACTGTGCTACTCTTAATTAGTTGATGTAATGAACTAAGATGAGTATCAGCACTGCAAAACCCCTGCCTGGGTAAGTTACCAGTTCACTGGGGGAGGTAGGTATTTTTCTGGTGGGTTCTCTTCCACTCCTGCAGTGCTCTAATTCCTACCAGAACCTGTCTTCAACATGAATGACCTTAC